TTGAAGATTAAATACAATTAGATAAAATAAGAAAATGAAAGGGTGTATTCTATGTGGAGGAAAAACAAGAGTTCGAAGTGAGAAGAATGTAAAAGAAGCATAAGCAAAATTCTAGACATAAAGTCACACAATTTCTGGAAGAACAGATTGATGGTTCTGCAGTAGAAGCTGGGTACTGGGGAGCTGTGTTTAGACATAATTTAAAAGCAAAACAAAATAATACATAATATGGAACCTTGACTGCCAGGCCAAATTTGAACTTTTTTCTTGGCGTCATTTCTAAAAGCATGTCAGTGGATGTTGAGTGAGGGAAGAGGGGTAATTTTCTTAGGTACATTTAGAAATTGTGAGAAGAATCTCAACTAGACAAGACTGCCTCCTGCAAAATTTCTCATGAGGGTTTAGTTCTGGGAAATTAAGAAGCAGCCATGGCGTGTATTTCTCAAACATTTTTCCACATTTTATCACTCTTTCGGTGACCCATCTTTTTGGATTGATCTCTCTCCTCTAGACACATGTCATGTTGGGAACTAGTGGTTTTGACAGTAAAGAATCACAGAGAGCAATAAGGCTGAAAAATGACATGGTGAAAGTACTGATTTTAAGAAAATAATATGGTGGTGGTGGGTAGGAGAGACTAATGGCCCCTGTAATGAGGGAGCTGGGAAGATAAACTGTAATGACATGAATAGTGGAGATGAGCAGTTTTATTTTAAGATAGAAAGTGGTAGAGTTCATCTCACTTCCAATTGCTGCTTAGAAGTGAACTGCAGAGAAAAACGGGCTGCAGGTAAAGACTTGAGTGTAATTTGTATACAGGTGAGAGTTCAATCTGTTAGGATGAATTCCGAGAAAGAGACTAAAAAGTAGGAGATTTATATTATTAATTGAAACACTTCCATGTGGATGCTGGAGGCGATGAGAGAGGAAGTGAGGAGAAACATAAGCAAACTTAAGAAGAAATCAGGATAGTGTAGTTAAAAAAAGAATTTGAATAAAGATCTTATTGTGAAAAGCCCGTTGTTTTTGTTCGTTACAAATGTACTGGAAATTTCTAAAAATTAAGTTTTATTACAATATGAAAGTGTACACTTGTGGATGTGTGATAGAGAAGTGAGAAAATGTAAATGATCAGGCAGAGCCTCCACACACAGGAAGGGGAGATACTGACCCTACGACAGGGCTGGAGTACTACTGGGGACTGAGAATCACGAATCAGGTGGGATCCTGGATATATCTGACTCACGTAATTATATTTCTTGCTCAGAGACTTGGAAATATTGTGAGAGGGATTATTAAGAGGTAGATAAACTGAAAAGGTTTTTTGGATAGCTTGTCTCCAAGGGTACCATCTTCTCAGTAAGGTGGTATCTTACAGAAATGATGACCTCTCATTCTGAGAAATATGCTAGAGAATCAAACGCTTTCAAACACAATTGCCAAGAAGTAAATGTGGCTCATTTGAGGGTTAGAGAGTGTATTCATTTTCTCTTCCTGCATAACAAACTACTACACATTTAGCAGCTCAAGACAACATCCATTTATTACTCACTATTCCACCGAAGAGAAGTCTGGGTGGGCTCACTGCTCAGGGTCTCACAAGGCTGAAAGCAGGTTGTCAGCCTAGCTTGACTCTCTTTGGGAGCTTTGAGGGAGAATCTGCTTCCAAGCTCATCTAGGTGGTTGTAGGAATGAAGACCTCAATTCCTTGCTGGCTGCAAGGCAGATCACTCTCAGCTCTGAGAGGCCACTAGTGGTCCATGTTCCTTGTCACAGGACCTTTAATAGGCCCTATCACATCATCCAAGTTCACATCTTCAAGGGCAGTAGCATGGTCCCCTGCATGTAAGCTCCTCAACTTCACATCTCATGCTTGTAATGTCTCTAACTTCTGGTGATAGAGGAGACTTTGGGGGGTGCGGGGGAGGGATAGCATTAGGAGAAATACTTAATGTAGATGACGAGTTGATGGGCGCAGCAAATGAACATGGCACGTGTATACCTATGTATCAAACCTGCATGTTGTGCACATGTACCCTAAAACTTAAAGTATATTTTTTAAAGGGAAATAAGAAAATCATGTGATTGCATTATTCCAACCAGATCATCTCCCTTTTGGTAAACTCAAAATCAACTGATTAATGGCATCAGTTACATTGCAAAATTCCTTTTGCCATGTAAGTTCGTAGACATGACTGACGTCATATTCACAGCCCCAGGGGTTAGAGTGGGAAATCTTGGTGTCCATTTTGCTGTTCTCCTTAGCATAAACAGTTTAAATTAAAATATAGTTTTGTGTAGTTTGTTTTTTTTTTTGAGTTCATGTGCCTCAGACATTTCCTAGAATGTCACTGAAGTGATGGAGAAGAAAAATGGAGAAAACAATAAATGTTTTTTAAGTTTGTTATATTTAACAATAATTACAAATAAATCTCTGACAATATATCCAATCACTTTCAACCAAAACCAATTTCTTAAAATAGTAATTTTTGTTTTAAAAATCAACTTTCTTTCTGTGTTTTTGAGTTCATTTACCTGGTTGGATCCTCATGATATATACATCGTTGGTGGTATTCATGAGATTCCATCTGTGTTCTGGCCACGATCCCAGTAAAATATTGGAATAATTGTTAGGGAAGTAAAGAGAAAATAAAGTTGATATGGGAAAATGTTGGAAAAGAATGTTGAGGTCAAAAGAAAGCAGCATATCACCAGAGAGTTTGGCTTTTGTTGTACTTGTCTGATAATACTTTGAAAAATTAAAATGTAAATCATATAACTGCATTCTTAAATAATTCTTTCAATTAATGTGTTCTGGATAAACAATATTGTACTAGAATATATAATAGAATAGATAATCAAAATGTATTAATGTTTAATGTGCTAGCATAATAAATATTTGCAAAGCGCTTTGCATATGTTTTTCTCACAACATGAGCAATGGTCCAGGTATATTATTGTCCCTTTTATAGATTTGAGGAAACTGATTTATTCAGTAATGTACTCAATACCCCATGTCTCGTGGTTGGTATATGTCAAAATCCAGGATTCACATCCAAGTGTGTTGGACCTCAGAATCCAAGACCTTTATGATTATACTAAATAGACAACAAATGGGATATTTCATAATAACAAATGATAACTGGTATTACCTTATTTACCCTTCATCATTATCATTTATATAACGGTATAAAGTAATACCATTTATCCTTTCCTTTTTAGATTTTGACTTTTTATGTGGTTTGTTTCCTATCCGTGTTTCTTCATTGCTGTACTCTCCCTTCCCTTTACAGGGAGTAGCATACACATCAGCATGTTAAACACAGTAGAAAAGTTTTGTTTAACTTAATATTTGCTGAGTTCACTTGATCTTGAAAGAAGCCTTCTTTTTAATTTAATGCCACCTATTGACTTTTTTTCCAAAATGCCAGTAAACAAAACTAAGAATTTAAAAATTACTGTCAAATAGTTTTAGTATTTTTGTTAGAAAACTAATATTTCAGAAGTGGAGTGGTGACCTAAAAATTGTATTGTTTAATTTTAAAAGTTCATGAATTTCAGAGTCCAGTTGCTTAATTTAAGAGTTCCTTATATTATAAACACATGTATGTTAGCTATCCTGAGGCTATTTGACTCTCTGTTCTTCAGTATAAAATGCTGTCCTTGGGTTATGTGTTTAGTTATTGTCTGCTAATTGATAATATTATTTGGAAAGTCACAGAAGTAACAAGCCTAAGTCTTTCATAAAGCGCTGTGAAAATTTAAATGCCCCCTAAGTGGTCAGCAGTGGTACATTTTGTTCATAATATATTGGTACCCTCTAGTGCTGACACTTGGCCATGTACTCTCCAAAACTACCTTAGAACAGTAAATGTCATATACTGCATTGGACTATCTTAATCAGGCTTAGTTTTAAGTGAAATATTCTACTATTTATAACATCACCCTTCTGAAAAGACATTCAGAAATTTCCATTGTTGTTTAAAAGTATTACTGGAACTCCTGTGCTGTAGGGGAAAATGTCAATTCCATTTGTTTTGCTTATAAAAATAAATGAAATACTTGAGAATTGAGAACTGATAAGTCATTAAATTTTTTTTTTTTTTTTTGAGACGAAGTCTTGCTCTGCCGCCCAGGCTGGAGTGCAGTGGCTGGATCTCAGCTCACTGCAAGCTCCGCCTCCCGGGTTTACGCCATTCTCCTGGCTCAGCCTCCCAGTAGCTAGGACTACAGGCGCCCGCCACCTCGCCCGGCTAGTTTTTTGTATTTTTTAGTAGAGACGGGGTGTCACCGTGTTCGCCAGGATGGTCTCAATCTCCTGACCTCGTGATCCGCCCGTCTCGGCCTCCCAAAGTGCTGGGATTACAGGCTTGAGCCACCGCGCCCGGCCAAGTCATTAAATTTCTTAAATGATTTGTGGAAATGGATGTAGGACCTAAATGTTTTGTCCCAAGTTTCAGTATGTGCCATATGCATTGGACTGTGTATTTGATCCAAGAAAGTTTAAATGAAACTACAAATGTATATGTCTAAAATTCTGGATTTCTTTAGACAGAAACATTTCCTGGAAGAGTAGTACTTCTTTAGAAATATGGAGTGTGGGTTCACAAAACAGCACAACGCTATCAGCCAATATATTACAAAGGGAGTACTAGAATGTGATTTACCGCATTTAAACATTGTTTATTCAGAAACAAAGGATCCTCTAGCCAAACTGCCATAAGCAAAGAAGGTGTAATTTCATTTGCTTCCCAAAGCATCATCCAAACCATTGCCATGGAGCTAATACGTAGAGTGTAGCTGTTTGTGGGTGTAAGACTTTGCCCATTCTTTACTATTTCAGTTGTTTGTTTTTCTTAAAGACTTGGTAAGGTGTCTACACCAAAAGAGTGGATCCACATAACAAAATAATTCTAAGCTCTACGTAAGTTTTCTGAATATAATTCTTAGATTATTCGAATTTGCTATTAATAAAAGCCTTTCTCTATGTACAATTAGTTGTTACAGGGTAGATCACCCAAACCTGACAAGTGGGAGCTTCTTCAGCTGGGCAGTGGTGGAGGCATGGTTGAACAAGTCAGTGGGGACTGTGATGACGAAGATGGTTGCGGGGGATCAGGAAGCGGAGAAGTCAAGAGGACACTGAAGATCACAAACTGTAAGTGTATGATTCTAACACCACTTGCTAAAAAAAAGATTTTGAAATATAATTAAAGATGTTATGGATGTAAAGAAATACTGACCATTCAAAAGCAAGAGGAATTGGAAATGAAAACGAATCCATTTTTGTTTTTTTAGGACGTACATTCTTGGTGGTTTTGTTTATTTTTAACTAATGACTTCTAATGATAGTTTTCTGTGAAAAAAACTAGTAAACAATCAACAGTTCTGAGAAGGTTTGAAAGTGGAATAACTCTTAAGGCGTAATAGATACTAATTGTATATTGATAAACAGCATGAAACCAGGATGGGTAAGTACTACTTAATAATCAAATTGTGCAATTAAAAATTATGCCATTATATAAGAAACGTTTATTATACTTTTATCATAGTCAAATTGCATAGAAATTGGTATATGGTTATTGATCGTGAAAACTATTTGGATTTAATGCTCATGAATTTCCCCTTCCAAAAAAAACTCACTAAACATTTATGTCGATTGAATGGATTTGAAACCATTTCTGAACTCATCACTACCACAAAGGATAGAATTTTCAAATAACAACAACAAAAAATTACCAAATGGATTTACCTTCCTGATTATCACATACAAGATGAGGAATGTAGGTTCTCCACACTCCATTGTTACCTGCATGCATTTGTTCATATGGGCAAAACAACACAGTGACCAACTGAGAAATAATGGAAACGTCGAGGTACCTAGAGTAACTGGTTTAAACTATTCATTTAATCTTGATTATACCAAAGGCAGGGGTCACCTTCTGGAAAGGTGCAGTCACATGTAGAGTTTGGTCGGATAACTAAAAATCACACAGAGCTGCTTTGCACCTACTAGACATGCTTTTTGGTGGGAGAAGAATTCATTTACTTTATAACTCGCTCATTATGAATTAAAAGCACGATAAATGCTTCCAAAATCAATTCCTTGTTCCTTCTAAGATCTGGTTTTACAAACCAAATGTACTGCTTTAAAAATGGAAGCCAAAAGAGGTGCAAAATTAAAAAGGCAGTTAACATAATGAAATATTTTCTTGTTAGACACAGTAATACATTTTATTTAACATGAAAACAGATGAGAATGAGTGCGCTTGAGCAGCCATTGAACAAAAGACCACAAAATTCTTAGTGTAAATTAAATATATTCTATTCTTACAGAATGCGATAAAGACATGTGTTCTTGTTATGAGCGTTAATACAGTTTATCAGATTGGTTTCTTGTTTTTTTTCTTTCTTTGGTTGTTTAAGTGAAATATAATTAAAGATACTGTGGATGTAAGGAAATAAAGACAATGTATTTGGAAATTAGCAAGAGGGTTTGGAAATGAAAATGACCCTTTCATTTGTTTAGGGCATGCATTCTTAGTGGTTTTGTTTATTTTTGACTAGTAACTTTTGATGACAATTATAGCTTTCTGTGAAAAAAATACTAGTGAATTATCACCAGTTTTGAGAATTATAAAGGTTTTATTATTTTTTAATTTCCTTAGGGTTTGGGGGAAACAGTTGTATTGTTTGGTTACATGAGTAAGTTCTTTAGTGGTGATTTGTGAGATTTTGGTGCACCCATCATCTGAGTAGTATGCGTCGTACCCAATTTGTAGTCTTTTTTCTCTCACTCGCCTCCCACTCTTTCCTCCCAATCCCCCAAAGTCTTTTGTATCATTCTTATGCCTTTGCATCCTCATAGCTTGGCTGCCCCTATGAATGAGAAAATACAGTGTTTGGTTTTCTGTTCCTGAGTTACTTCACTTGGAATAATGGTCTCCAATTTAATCTAGGTTTCTGTGACCATTATTTCATTCCCTTTATGGCTGAATAGTATTCCATTTTATATATGTGTGTATATATATATACACACACACATACATACATACACACATATACCACGGTTTCTTTATCCACTCATTGATTGATGGGCATGATTCCATATTTTTTCATGAGAATTATAAAAGTTTGAAAGTGGAATAGCTCTTAGGGCATGATGGATATGAATTACATATTGATAAATAACATGAAGCCAGGATGAGTAAGTACTACTAAATCATCAACTTGTGTTATTTAAAAAATACTGTGTCATTATATAAGAACGTTTTTACTTTATTACATTTTTATCATAGTCAAATAGCAAATTATAATTTAATAGGTAAAAGAAAATGAAAATGAAAGGGTTTCCACTAGAAACAATTTTTTTTTTTAACTAAAACCTAAAATGTCTTCCACTATATTTAGGAATTATAGCACTTACCCATCAGGGTAATATTTAATAAACTTTCATTTTCATCCTATCTGGAGTATTTATTTCTACTGTAATTGCATGGCCATCTAAATATTAGTAGTATTTTAGAACATCAAGTTATTACAAAAGTATAGCATTTTTGTGTGTGAGTGCACGTGCATGTATGTGTAGAAATGGTATATTTATAGGAAATTTTTTACTTCATGAAGTTATTTACAAGCTCAAGAACTTGTTATATGTTAGTAGGTCATTCTTTTTTGTTTGTTTTACAAAAGAAGTAGAGGCAGTGAAGGATATTCAGCTACTAATAGTTTTCTTCACAAAACTATACTTGACAAGCTGACAAAAATTAATTTTTACTTCAAAACCTTGGTTTCAATTACTGCTGAAATGGACAGACATGGTACAAGCAGCTGTCCATCAGAATTAGGGCGATTTAAGAGATAGATGATTTTTCAGCAACTCCAGGCAAGCATTTTCTGAAAATCCACATCTGCTCTAAGTGGGTTGCCTATTATGTTTCTACGAGCTTATAGCTGTTGCCTTTCAATTTTTAATAAGTGGTTAGAAAACCACTGTGGATAGCACGCTGAAGTAAAGAGGGACAAGGAAAGGAGCAAACTGTAGGTCACATTTCTATTTTTGTAAAGCACTCCAGTATTTTGCCCGTTTTGGCCCAGTTTGATATATTGGTAAAGAAAGTTAAGGCATAGTTTTAGGTGGTCTTAATGACTTGAAAATATTGTGATCTAAAAAGTTTAACAAGGTGTCATCTGTGTTAAGAACTTGAAATGCACCACTATTTCTTCATTACAGTTTTGTTTATTCTTTGGAAAATAAGACATAAATACCACACAGTTCATTTGTTACCATAAAATGTCTGACTAAATTTAAAGTTATATATGAGTATATATCTACATATAACTATATATAGTTATGATTATTAATACTAATGTATCTTTGAAATTTCATGATTCTACACTATTTATGCAAATGAAAAAAGTTGGCCAATATTTTGCTAATTAATTTTTACTTGAACGGATTTTCTGTGTCTGTTTTTGTTCATGTTTATAACAGATAACGGAGAGGTCTCTATATCTCAATATGCAAAGTCTTACCGCCAAAATATTTCTGTACCTTTCAGGTGTCATTTTGTTTTCATCATCAATGTTATCAAATTATTTAACCATCTTACTGTTTTCTAAATAATTTCTATTTGTAATCCTACCTGTACACTATAATTACATGTTAACTAATGTTTCTCATAGAAAGAAGCCATCTATACTAAGTAATTTTCACTCTTAAACTGATTTCAGTAGAATGACTTAAAAACCCCATTAGGAAAATATGTCTACATTTTTATTATATGTATTTGGTTCGTTTACATAGACATAGATAGTTCACTAGTAACCTAGGGTTGCAGGATTGGAATAACTTTGAACTTAAAAGTTGCCTCACCCCTTGCCTGACATCTGCCATTCTTGCACAGTTGCTAACTGATGGAGGTTCTAAACACAACTGGAAAAAATAATTCTCTTCTTTTGGTCATGCAGAACAAATCTAATGTTAAAATCTATACTTCTTGAAATATCTGGCTGTACTTCTTAGGTCCATAACTCTGGATATCTTCAAATGTTGAAAAACAAACCAGAGTTCTACTAAAAACAATTTGTAGCAAAATTATTTTACATATAATTTTGAAAATTTGTGGTTGCATTGTTTACAATTCTTATGTGATCTTATGATTTAAATGGCAATAATTACTTATAAAAAGTAAATAATACATAATTCATGATCAAATTCATTTTGGCAAGGTGGTTCACAGTGGTAATCGAGGGAAAATGGATTTGATCACAACTAGAACTAGATACCAGACATTTTTTAAAAGTAAAGTGATTTTCAATCTTTGGATTTATTTTGCTGGGCTTCTCCTCATCATTCCACATTCTAAATATTTGAGGATTCCAGAATTCAGTTCTCAAATCTTTTAACATGTTTATCGACAACTAGCCCTTTTCCCACAGACTCCTTACTGAATCATAATTATGATAATAATAAGGTTCCCTGATGCTTGATAGCACTATCCAGTTTATAAAGCATTTCCCACTGTAATATCTTAGGAGGTAGGAGGTAGGCTTATTGGAACAGGAAATATCTGACTTAAATATGATTAATTTAGAAGTAGTAGAATAATACATTGCAATATTAAATTGCTAGATCTAGAGTTTTTGGTTGATTAGTCTAAGATAAATAGAACTATTGTTTATATTGTGTTTTGGTTTTCTCACTTGGTAACTTTGTATCAGCCTCTAACAAATGTATCCATGTCAGGGTACTAAGAATGACCTTGGAAAGAGAATAGTATATTCTGTGCACAGAACAAAAGGAAAATTACACTTTGTTAGCCACTGAAGAATAAGGGAGGCTGATTTATTTAGTAATGCAGGATTGTAGAGTGAATGAAAGTTCTTGGCTTCCTCATATTTATTTTCACCATAAATCACCTTCACTTCAAAAGCCTCAGGTAGGTGCGGAAGTTAAGGAGACCTTAAAAAGATGTTACTTTCTTTCCAGAACTAGGAAAACTATGTATTTATTCATATTGTGGATATTATTTTATATAATTTTAAATAGTCTATTTTTTATCGATATAAATTCAAACATATATGCCTATAAAATTTGGATGTCATTATACTATACTATCGCAGTTAAAAATATGTTTACTGATTATATATATTCTT